AAGTTACAACGGTTTGATTGACGAGGCTTTCTATACCCTGAGGAGTTTGCAAAAGGTATTCATAACTCTGGACGTGGACTACTTGAGCTCGTTACCCAAAAGCAACAAACCCAATCAATCCATGGGAAGCAAACGATAACACATTCCACGTGTTACTGGCGTGTACAAATAGCTCAGAGGCATGTTGGTGCCTAATTATGGTGATGCGGAGATGTACAAAAATACTGAGGCAGCAATTGCTTTAGAGAAGAGTTTGATGCTTGTTAGTCATAAGGAGATTTAAAAATCCCAAGATATGCCTCAAGGCCTTTGAAAATCAGACCCAAAGTGCCTACTTGAGATCTTGTTGAGAAACAACACAGCCAACTCTTCTGACCACATTTCCTGGCACAGACAACATTTTGACTATGTAAATCAGCAGACAAATCATTGTGTTTTGCCTGTAAAATGAGGGAGTCAGACTTCATCTGTTCACAGACTCAGTATTCTGTATTGGAACGTACAAGCCATACACAACCTCTACCATCTCACTGCAAAGCGATACGGTGAAAGGCAAGGCAGCATTCACTGTATCTTCACTATTAACTTACTTTTCCAAGAGGAAAACAAATTCTGGCTAGTACCAGCTACCTAGATAAAAAAGGAAAACCCCTACAACTCCTTTTCTTCCCTTTTTCTAACCCATTTATCTGCCTCATGTCAAGAGTGATCTAGAAGAAAATTGCTGGCATATTTTGCATCAAAAAACTGAATAACAATCATGACTTTTGAAAGTGCTTACTAGACTATTCTGTGCATTTGAATATTTTCTTTCACCATTTAGTCCGGTCTTCTATGGGAGTACATCATAGCCTTTAATTAAACATTCTTGAGTATTTGGATTTTATCTCACAGATACACCGCACCCTGCTTGTAAAAATTCCATCTCAGGCAGCCAAAGTGCTTGACTTCTTCCAAAGATGAGTTATTAATTAGAATATCTATAGACCTTGTATTTATAATCTGGTGCCATCCCTCCCCAGGGAGCCCAAACTTTTATCTGCCAGATTACTTACCTGCAGCTGAAACAGAGCCATCACTGGCTGGAATGTAACCCCCATCTTGTGCAACTCCTCACTACCACTCTCAAAATAAAGAATGGAAGTTAGGTGCAAACGGAGGATGTTTTTAAGATGTTCCGGATGTAAACCCCCTGAATTAAATCCACCTCGCTTAAAATATGGCTGTAGCTATCTAACTCTGTGGGTTTCCTAAAGTCCCCATTAACTTCATCTTGCTTCATTCAGAGAAATCCTCACCCTAACCGTGAACTCCTGCAAACGCAGAGGTGCCGACAGGATGCTAACGGGCGTGATTTCGCTCCCCAAAGTGGTCCCAGGTTTCACCCTCCTCTGGCACAGTGTGCAGCTTTGTAACGCCTCATGCCAGCTGGGGCATCGACCCCGTTCTGACTCAGAGCGGGGAACACCCCAGTCTGAAATCACCGAAGGCAACAACAACTCACAAAATACTTCCCTGAGCCAAGGGGTAAAAGCCGGTGCCAGCCGTGAGCTCACCAGCACCGCTCCCCGGCACCACTCGCTTGCCAATCTTCTGCAGCATTTTTAGCTTGCTAGGTATGCCAGCTCATCCCACTCTCAAAACATTTAGCAATCAAGAACAGTGATAGCTTGGGGCTGCCACGGCAGCCAAACATCCAAACAGGCAAAGGCAAAATGTGAGAGAGAGGACTATTGCGTTACCGGACTCATGAGCCCTCACAGGCAACCTAAAGTGCTTAAAACTGTATCTTTCCTAAGTGCAGAAGGGAGGGTGCAGCCATCCCACGGAAGGAAATCGATAGGAAATCCTGCTGGTATGAAATAAGTCTGGGAGACAGCTTGCAGGAGCCTTCAGTGAGCAAGTCCCATGCAGATAATGGAGACAAAAAGGAGCGAGTGGCATCTGCCGGTACCAGGTCAGGGCACAACTCTGCTGTCAAGGGCCGCTGCCACTACCCTCCAGGCTTGCCCCTTCCATGGATCAGCATAACCCCCCCGACAACCTGCCATGCTCAGCACTGCCTGCCTTTTCCAAGGCTAAGGTTTGGGAGAAGAGAGTAATCTCGTACACCAGCAGGCATTCACTGCCGTGTCCCAGTCCAGAGCTCTTCAGCTTTACACGTGGCCCTCTCCAGCTCCAGAGAAAAATCACCGGCCTGGAGGAGCCCCTAGAACCAAGGAAAAAATTGGTCTCCAACCCTGGACTTCACATCACACCCACAAGAGACTCCTGCCCTCCTACACCACTGCTCTCCTCGTCCAGCACACTTGCCTCGGAAACCTTTGATTCTCAGACCTTCCACCTCCTACAAGAAGAGATGAAGCAGCTGAAGCAGCACCAAGAAGCTAACGTCGCCTGGAAAAAAAAGATAAACATGCTCCGGCTGCAGAGAAAGCAACCTCCTGGCAATTTTGCTGGGGAACTGTGTCATGAGCAGTAGATGCTTTTTGGATTTACTTCTCCTCTGCCTTAGCATGCCCTACAGATACGTGGAGGTATTAGTGTGAGAAAATCTCCTGGTTTGGGAAGCAGGATGCTAGCGAGAGGGGGGTTGAAATGGAGAAGGGATGAAGAGACCTCTTCCACATTCTCCTCTTGTAAAGGGGAAGTAAAGGAGAAGAGCTTTAACAGCAAAGTCCCCCAACGCAGCAATATAAGAAAGACCTGACTGCCCACACGGGGCAAAAAATAATAGAAAAAGGTAGTGCAAGAGGCCAGAGCAGTTTTATGAGGGGTTCCCCCGAGTCAACACAACTGAAAACACCAGGAAATATTAGAGGGAAAAGTTTGATCCAAAATCTCTCACCTGAAGATGCTCAGATACTGTTTGAGCTTACATCTGTGTGTGAACTTTGAAGCTTGGGTTCCTTTCTGTATAACACAGTGAACTGAATCAAACCCAACCCAAACACCTGCAACATCTGGAAATACGTTGATTCAGAGATGCATTTCATCGCTTTTGTCAGTCATCGATTTATCAGAAGTTACTCCCTATATTTCCTCCACCTCCTTTGATTTATTTATAAGTATTTCCATTTTTAAAGTACTTCTTATTATAAGTACTTACCATTTCTCTTATAAAGAGTATAAGTACTTTCTTTTTGGAAGTACTTTTCATCCATCCATCCAACTCTGGTCTAAGTCAGACGCTTTTAAGCTATTGCCTCAAACAGATAACTCTGGCCAGGATGGCAATGTCAGCACGGAGAAGCTTTTTCTGGCCCTCTTCATGTTTCTGTTCTTTTTGGAGAAAAGGATGTTCAGGTTGTAATAAAAGGACTGAAAAATACATTCATACTTATTAAACCGGTAGAGTCAATTGACAGGGCTAGGACTGGCTGCTTCCTCCCCTCTCCCTTCATGCCCTTCCGCAGTTTCCTCTCCTCTCCTCTCTTCTGACACTTGTTTGTGTTTGGAAGCAGCACGCTCACTCCCAACAGACTGGGACAGAGGATGAGAGGGGAAATGTCTGGACGCATTTAGTCCAATTAAATGTTGGCATCACATTCAGTCTTTCCAAAAAGCACGTAGGAAATTTTAAACGCCAGGCTAGCCGCTGCGAATTGATGCCTGCCCATTTACATTTCCTTGCATCAAGCCACAAACAGAGTAGGTATTAATTGTCATCAAGAGTGTCTGCCACAAACCTCTCTTTAATATCACTCACAAATGTTCTGCTAAAACCTTTCGTCTTTCAGCAGATGACTTCCATAATCCCATGTCACTGATGAGTTCTGGCAGAGCTAAAGAGCAAACTCTGTTTGCTGCTGACAACCCCCTTCACTTTCCTTTTTCAGCTGCCGCAGCGGCACACAAGTTCTGTAGCAGCATTCCCTGCCCAATGCCATCTCTCAGACTCGCATCGTTCCTTCGAACGATGTGTTTGCTAACAGGGTTTTACAGCAAATAAACAAACATGCACAAACCCTGGACGTGTGATCTGTACATTGTCTTGAGCCATCCGCTCTTTCCGATGAGCCGCTGCCTTTATGAGAAGAGCTGTGGCATAAACCTAAGCAGCATGGGCACGGCAGCAGTGCCTGCCTCCCTCCCACAGACAGTTTCCTGACACCCGTGGGTCCCATGGCACCCCAGTAGTGATAAAACCTGAGCTCCGCTGCACAGGGGATCACAAACTCGACCGAGGGCACTTGAAGTTTAACTTCTGAGCGAGAAAGAAGTAGCTGAGGAGGGACAGGCACAGCTGGCGTTCTCACACTACTTTTTCTTTCTTTGTTTTAAATAACTAAATCTTGTTCTTCCCATTCCTGAGAAAAGTCCTTTAAAAATGAATGAGACTAGGCCTATAAGATAATTAAGGGTCAGTTTACAGTGCTATTAATTAAATGCTTTATATACAGTAACTGAAGAGTTTGGTAGAATTCATGAAACTAGATTCCAACCTCAGATGCTTTCCAGAGTGGCTGGAAGGGAACTAAGGAACTAAAGGAAGAAAAGAACTAAACAGAAGAAACTCAAAAAGCGTCGCTTTTCTCAGCATTCACTGCAACATCCAAACGAACAACATACTTCCACATGATTGCTACAGCTCTGCCCTCCAACATGTGTTCACAGCTCCGACTAGATCCAACCGCAAGTTAAGGACTAAATGTACTGAGGCACGTCCCCAGCTGATTTCAGTATAAACTGCATGTCTGGAAGCTGACTGCACAGATAGGTCTGCAGTCACCGCTTGCCAGCCGAACAGCGAAATCGTACATGGACAGGGCAGCAATCCGCTTGCACCATATTGCTAAGAGCAAGTGGACGCTCTTGCCCTGTTTTCAATAAAAACCTTGGTCCATCCAGTTTAAAATAGACTTTAAGGCATGCTCACGCGCAGTAATCTTTGAAGACAGGAAAAATCTCCCGTCACTTTTCAGTTTTGGAGAAGAAAGGGTGCTCACCACAGAGCACCAAGATAAACGACCTGTGCTGCTCGTTACATGTTTTGGTACCTGCACAATAGGGTGGCCCCCCGCAGATGCCTTCACAGCCCCTCGACTGCCTTCCGTCTCGTAATGAGCTCGGTGGTGGGATTTCGGCTGCACTTCAATACGCAGTTCATAAGGTCCTGAGTGAGATGGCAGCTGCCAATCAAGGGCCGGCAGGGATGGGCTATAACGGAAAGGAAAACGTATTAAAAATTAACATCAAGTACACTATCGCAAACCACAAGCATCCAGCACTATTACTTTAGAGACCGTGTTTCGCAGTTCATCCTTCACCATCTTACATTTAAAATTCCTTCAATATGGATAATGCCACAACATAAGTAATTTAGAAGGTAATGGTTATTTTATGAAGATTTATGGGTTGAGCATATCTGATGGCCTAGATGCTAGCCGATTTGTAACCAAAATGGAAAGATGTTAAGACACAGCTTAGAAATATCTTAATATATTGATTCTTGAACCAAAAGGAGAAAGGTAGGCAGAAAGACACCGAGGAATTTAAGGAAGAGGATTTCCGCTGAAAGCGAATGCCAAACCAGCTCTGGAGGTATTCTGCATTTAATCAGTCTAATGGATTTCAACAAATCTGCTCAGTTTACAGGGGGCGCAAAGAAGGAAAAAAGCCATTTCCCAGCTTCCTTCCCAACACAAAACACATCAGAGAGTCTCAAAGCGAAGCCAAGCTCTTTCTGGTTTGTGCACTACAAGGAAGCAAGCTCTGAAGTCGGAACTTGCTTACAAATCCTACTAATGATGACGCACAACCCCGAAGAAAAACCAGTTCACTCTTCTGGCACTGTATTGACTCTGCAATTAACTAAAATATTAAGGATTCATTATCATCACACAAGCAAGCAGGCCCGACAGCACGCCAGGCTGGGGAAGGGCCACTCTTAGAAACCCACTTCCAGTGTAAAACCACACTTGAAAATAGGAGAGCTTGGCTGTTAAGAAATGCCAAGTTGAGACTTCAGGGTTGGGGAAAAAAAAAAAAAAAAGAAAAAGAAACAAACAAGCACTGTAGAAACAGTAGGCCTGAGACAAATTTATTGATCTTAAAATCGAAGCAAAAAGCTTCATGATGAAAACACTAATTTTATGTCTAGCCTATATTCTTGCCTTTGGTGAATTCTCCTCATCAGGTGTCCTTCAAAAGCCTTTACAAGTAGTTACACAGCATAACCCCAACATACTACCCTGCCCTCTTACATCAAACTTTATTATCTCTCCCACCAGCCTGGAGAAGATGACCAGTAAGCAGAAAATCATGGTCCTTGACCCTTCGTCGTTGCCACGGACCGGGGCTACCTGCCACGGCGAGAGGGCTCATCCCGCCGCAGTATGGGGGCGAGGAAGCTGAAGGGCTGAAGAGCTCTCGCCCTGGTCTGCGAGGAGGCTGGTTGCTGGGGATTTACCGGTTCCCCGGCACAGGGACAGTCTGAGCAGCATCAACCATGGCTGAAATGAGCTGGCTGGGAGGGAAAGGATGCAGAAGAGCTTCTGCCCTGCGTATTACAAGCACATACTCAGCTGGAGACCGAATACTCCATTTTACCACCCCAGTGATCCCCACACGCTAACCCAGGGTGCTTGGGGACCCTCAGGCATTACAGCTCACACATCCCCCAAAGCATCCCTGCTGTCTCCCACTGCAGGACAGAGATTCGAAACCAATTGCACCGGTTTTAATTTTGCTTTCCCTTATTTTATTTTTTTTCTTCTCTCTTTCAAAGTGCTTATCCAGCCTTTTATCACCGGCATATTTAACTCATATCTGCTAGTGCATGTGTGCATATACACTGATGGGACTTCAGGTGGTGCTGAGTTTCTCTACATTATCTTTCTTCAATGCTTATCAATTTGAGCCATGTGATTTGAATGCCTATAGACACACACAACATGCATTACGGGGGTCATCTGGAGCCACTAAGTCCCAGCCTTGGGTGAGGACCAGGACCACCCTCACTCCCTGAGCACCCCCTGATACCCCAGCACGGTTTGCCAGCAAGTTGCAAGCTCCAAACTTCCAGCTACCCTGCTCTCCAGCCCTCAGGACACACAGCATCCTCAAAAGTAACAGTGAGGGAGAGAAGAAAGTAGCCATACATACTACACAGCTCCCAGTTCAGCTCAAATAGGAGCTCATCCAAAAGAAAGATGTTGCCTCTGGGAGGGCTCCCAGCTCCCACAAACATCTGGATCCAGCAGGAACCAGTGCGACACTCTCTGCAGAGGCAACACCCTGCCAGGGACAAATCCTGAATTTGGCTACCACTTCCCCAACCACAGGAGCCCCAGCCTTGGCTAGAGGCAGGACACTACGTTTTCTGAGCTCCTGTGCAAGCCTTTCCCCAAAAACAGCCAGGGCTCACCTTGGGGGTGAGGAGAAGCTCTTCTGCTACTAGACGCTCATACAAAGAGCCAAGAGACAGCAAGAAATTACAGGCTATTGACCATTGTATATAGCCACTATTCTTTTGCCTAGCATGTTAGGTATACATACTTTAGTCTGAAAAGGTCTCAAAAAAAAAAAAATCTGGATAAACCATATTTGACTAATGATAAATGACAAAGAGCAGAGCAAAACAGCTGTGTCTCTCCTGGTGATGATCAGCATGCATTTTTAAACAGATGTTTCTGGTTTTAAGTAAATTCACACTTCATGGATCTTTTTTTTTTTCCTGAGGACACAACATCTATCAGATTAGAAATTTTTAACACTTAATTAAAAAGGACAACTCCGACCAGCAGCATCTAGTTCTCAAGTGAAAAGGGATATTTTTTTTTAAGATACATGGAAGTAAGTAGTAGCTCCGTAACTAATTACATCTCTTTAAAATACAAAGAAAAAACCCACAAAAATGCCTTTCAAATCAGCAGCACCTGAAAATGTCAGTATAATTGGGTTGTAAAATTCATGTTCTCAAATAAAGCCTGAAAATAAAAATACAGTTTGCTGTTCGAAATTCCAAAATACCACCTGCCCAATTATAAATTGACAATTAATGGCAGTTTTCCTGATAAAGGAAGCAGAATGATGCATTTAACAGTGTCATGGGCTGGGGCTGTCAGAGCTATTTCCTATGTTAGGTTATCTTCATCATGCACTTAATTTCCTGCAGCTAAACGTGGTTAAAGGAAAAAGTCACCAAGCAAACGGTGTAGTGGTAAAATCAAATCTGGTTGCTGCAAATAAACCTTCTCAATTTAAAAAGGCCCAAACTACCTCATCTAGCCAGCATCACGCGGAGGGCATAAAAGCCCCTCCATAGGGGTCAAGAAGAGAAATAAAAGGTCTTCACGCAGCCTTCCTATCAAACATACATAAGTGTATTTCCCTCAGATTGAATTTTCCACCAACTGAAAACCTGTCCCATTCCTTTCTACGCCATAATAAATCAAACTGTACTCCTCCTAAACGCTATAATGAAGGATGGTCGTTTCAAGGCGGGTTCACAAAACCTGGTGTTAGGCTGTAGAAAACTCGCTCAAAGTAACTCCGTCCTACATAAATCAGATTACAAAACAGATGAATAGTGATTTATTTTGCATACACCAGATACACAATATGATTAAATCAAAAACAGATTATCCAGTCTGGCTGACTTCTGCCTTTAGGAGAAAGATTTATCAAGTTACCCAAAAAAAAAAAAAAAAGACACTAAGCAGCACACTGGAATACAGACAGGGAGGAAACAAAAAACAAAAGCCAAAAACTTCTACTAAACTTTGCAAAGGTGTTTAAGCCCCATTTTCGCATGACTGCTATGCATTTGGGAATTAAATTACCACTACACTATCTAAGCTACTAGACACCCAAGGCCATTTGAAAAAAAAGATTTGCAAACATTTTTGTCCTTAACTGGGCTGCTGTGCAAAAGCTGTCAGAACAACTGCTGGTCTCTCTCGCACAGGGACTAATCCTGCTCGTTGGCCAAGTACCATAGCATGGAGTCATCTACCCCAGATAGCTGCCTGACAGCGGCAGAAGCCACTGCCTGGAAGAGCAGGACGGTAAGGGTGTTTCAGCACCCAAAGTAAAGCAAATGTCTTAGAAGTGTGGCTGAGACTGGGTGCCCTGCACTAAACTTTTTTTTCCCCCCCAACAGGGAGCGTTCCTCTAGAAAGAAAAACATAAACTAGAGAAACCACAGGGCTGCCAAAACTTTTACCAGGTTGCTAGCTTGCCCCTGCTTCAACTGTGCACCAAATGCAAATATGGTTACAATTGATTATTTATTACCTGTGTCTCACACCAAAGCGGATGCCTGTTAAAGATCCTTTTGTGGTTTTTGGGAGAACAACGATGATGCCTATGTGTCCTCCAACCTGCTTGTGGTCAGAAAAATACACCTGGCTTTATATTTCACCTATGAGTTAACGTGGGTAGATTTTGCTCTTTTTTTCTTCTTTTTTTTTTTTTTTTTTTTTTTAATTTCCTGTCTGACAATTGAGCAATCCGGCTGCGAGCTGTTAAAATAGATGCTGCGTCCCGCCCCAGACTTGGCTGTATTTTGCTGGCATGCGGAGCAAGTAGCTCCTCCGTGGAGTGCATGCGGTACACTGGAATTCCTCATGCTGAAGTCTGAAAACGCCAGTCATTATCATACTCCCAGATAATACTTAACACTACAGTCCTAAAATTTCACATTCAGAGATCGATTTGCATGGGGAATTTTGCATTTGTTGGCTTAGAGCAAGAACAAGAAACTATTGCCGCGGGAATGGAGATAACAAGTGGCTGGCATCGCTTCTCTGCTCGTTCTGAATTTAGATACACGCGGTGCTAAAACGAGCTGGTGAAGGAAAGTCATTAATGAGATGTTCACAAGGGCGTTTGAATGAACTGAAAAACAGTCAGGAGAAAGCGTGGGAAGGATTAAATCAAACAAACAAAAAAATCAGTTTACTGAGACAGGCTTCCAAGCAGTCTTCAGCCTTACAGTACAGCAACCTAACGTAATCAAAAGCCGCTGCTACGTGGTGACAAACCGAACTTGTTGAAGCATCTAAATATCCCCATTCAGCCTGAATAGAACAGGAGAAAGAAAAAAGTTAAGAGGCATTGCGGGCTTTTCCCTGTCCACTTCCCTCGGCCCCTCAATTAACACTAACGAGTCCCAGGAGACGGTCACCGACACAGAGCCACAAGTCCCCATTTCAACTGGGTCTTGCCCAGACAGCCCGGCCTTTACTTTGTCTGAGGAACTTCCTCTGGCTTGCCATAAACACACAAGCTTGCCACGAACGCACAGGTCAGCAAATCCAGTGCTGCCGCACCGGTGACTATCTCATCTTAAGATAGCTGATGCCCTTTTTCACCTTTCGAAAATCCCAATTTCTTGAGAAACTCAACTTCTCCCATGTAAGGTTATCCTTTATCTCAACATCTGGACAAAACCATCTATTTTGGAAAAAAAACAAAAACAAAAACAAAAACACACCACCACCAAAATGTCAAGAGCATCTGAAAGGTCCACAAATCAAAAGAAAGATGGAAAAAATACACAACGTGTTAAAATCATTATTTTTAAGGAAATCATATGGTTTGGGACCTCAGTTAATGATTTTTGCATCTTGAGTTTAACACTCTCACAGTCACAAAAGTGGAATCCAAAAAATCCACAAAAAATAAAAAAGTTCATTGATGCAGATAAAAGCCAAATGACCTTTTGCAACCGGTAGACAGGTATCCAGTCACACCTTCTCCGGGTGCAAACTACAGCCTCCGTATGTAAAACTACACGACCCTGTGTCTGTGAGGGCAAGAATATACATGTATATTTTTGAGGTTGAAGAAGAGATTGCAGCTAAGGAAAATGTGGCTTTCAACAGTTAAAAAAAAAAATAAACTGTATAAGAAAATACAGTAGGGAGCTTTTATAAGCCACCTGGAACTGGGTGTCTATTCCTGGAAGCTCCTTTTGGTGTGGTAGACCTCATACATGCCATACGCCTGACCGACAAACCCAACCATTTCTATTCCTCCTCCCCCCAAAAAACACGACATTTAATGAAAACTCAAGTGTCACAGGCCAACGCGCTTCTTGGATTAAGCTGATGACACTTGCAATAACTACAATGCATTACTTCTCAATGAGTAAGAAACCGTCTCTAGGAAATCTCAGGTTGCGTTTAGTCAAATACAGCGGCTGAAGAGGAAGTCATAAAAAATGTCTAAGCAACTCAGAAATCTGGCACTTCGTGAGTGCTTATATTTTTTGTGGTAATACAGGGATGATTTGGGACATGCTAATGAGCGGGTAAAAAAATTAAAATGGGATTTTAGTTTTGGAAATAGTCACTACCACTGCCCCCATACCCAAGGACAGAAATCCAGTCCTGTACTTCCATTTTGGCTTTGACATTTTTGCCCACGAGAGATTCTGCATTACGCAGTACTGAGGAGCGATGGAGAAATGTCACAGAAAGGAACATAAGTGAGACAGCAAGGGCTTGAGAAACAGAGAGCATCACCTGCTCATACAATAACTGCCTGGTAGAGTGCTTCTTTTTAAACTATTTGCTACATTAACTACAAAAGAGGGACTACAGACAGAATCTTCTTGCATTTGAGTGTGACAGCACAATGCAAAAATACTGAAATAAAAAAGACCTTGGAGCTAAAAGCTAAAGCAGAATTTCACAAAGACCACCTTTTGACTCTCTGCGTAATGATTTACCTCCAGCAGTTTCTGGTACATTTAGGTAACCCCTTTTGGTCTGGAAAAAGTATGATTCTCATTGCTACCTCAGGGTTTCTTCCAAAGCTTCGCCTGAAAATCTCCACTTGGTCTCCAAATATTTTCTACATCCAAAGATTTGCCGTGAGGCTGCAACCGAAGCACCGCAGACAAATCCCCTGCGGACCTGGGTCACCCCATGCAGCTTCAGCCTCGGCTGCAGCATCGGGCTCTGCCCTCCCACCTCGTCTTGCGATCCTCAGCACGATCCCCTGTTCCACGCAGGAATAGAGTTACACGTTCAAAGCCCTTGGAGGGGGATGTGTGAGTCCAAACCTGCTCCGAAGAGCCCACAGCCTGGGGACCAGGCTGAGCCTCCGAGTTCACAGTCCTTGTAAGTAACCGAGAGAAGCACGGAGCACAGAAAGGTTGTATTTCCATTAAGGCAGGCATTATTACACTCTTATCATATATTCTTATTATTCCCTTGCTCTGGGACTTGAAAAGCCTAAAGCGGATTGAGCTTTAATTACAACAAACGAAAAACATCATCAATTTTAGAAACAATACAAAAAAGCAGTTTCCCTTTTAGACTGATCCCAGCTACAAAATCCCGGGAGAGGAGACTGTGCCCGGCCAACGGGTCTGCCTGAGCCTGCTCCCTCCTGCCCCCAAAGAGACGGGAATGCAAGGGAGGGAGGGAAAGGCGTCAGTGATTTTCCAAGGCACGCTGGCTTTTGATGAAAATTGTACCGCGTATTCAGGAAGAGACAGAGGAGGTAATCAAATCTGGTTATCTCGAAATCATTATGACCGGGTAGATTTTGGAGCCCGAGTTGTTTGTTGGAACCCACCCCTCCAGCCCTCGCAGCTGAAATAGAACAGATGTGTAACATAACAGGAAAAAAATCCAGCTCTGTTGTGACAAATTCTTAACCAATTTTTTTGGAAAGATTTAAAATAACATAGTTTCGGTTGCGTAGGCTGTGATCCTGTTGACGTCCGTGCTCAGTTGCCCAGCACTTTCGTATACATAAAACGAGAGGTATTTTTGGTGGAAGGAAGCACGGTCAGTGTATCTGATTGGTAAAATAACTTAAAATCACATTTCGACAGTAACTTCCAACTGCCCTAGAGCACGAGTTAATGAGATCACATGGAAACATATTGCGAACCAGGAAACATATTTTATACAAGACCAAAACAGTGGAAAAAAACGTTAAATACACAACGTAGCGGGGCTCCGTTTTGTATGCTTCACCTTTCTTGTTTGTGTTAGCGCACAGGCATGCCGGGTACCTCCTGATGGACTGCAGCGAAGCAAAGCCTACGGGCCGCTCGCTGCAACGGAAAGATAAAAGCCTGTTTGGTCAAACTGTCCTATTACTGCCCTTGAAGTCTTCGGCAAAAACCAGCCTCCCGATGCACAAGCCAACGCCGGCCTCTCCGACGAACGCGGGCTTACTTGGCACTTCAGTGGGAGAACGTAAAAGGCTTTTTTTAAGTACATGGGAATGCTCTGAAAGATCTGCCTGGTGTTAAAAGTCTCTATCCCAGCTCTGAAGAGCAGCGAGTGCCTATCTCTGGATGGTTCGGCCAGACTCAAAGGAGTTGCTGCATTTCCCAGCACTGAATTAAGACAGGGTCCTGCAAGGAGTTTGGGCAACGCAGAGAGAAGGAGGAGGAGAACGATGAGGATGAGGACCACAGCACTACGCGCTGTAACACAAAGGGCCATGGATCACTCAGTTTTGGGACACAGCACATAGCAGAGAGGTGCTGGCTGGAGAAAAGCGAGACTGGCAAGGTTGAGAGCCAGGGAACGCATCGCTAATTAAAACATTTCAGCTACGTGCCCTCTTCTTTCATTTTGAGAAAGACAGCTTCGCTGTCAAAAGCAAGCAGCCAGTTCTGCTTGGGGAAGAAGAGGAGAGGGGGTGGCCATCACAACCAGGGACTGAGAACAGCCTGCAAACTTTTGGAAAGCCAAACTCTTTTCCTGCACCACGTGCTTCTGTGTATACAGCCTTCGGAAGACTTCATAATGAAGGTCATAACCGAGACCAAAAGAGAAAGCAATAGATGTAACTCAAATTCTGGCTATTCTGTGGTGCTTCCTACCCAGAGCCTTCTTGTGACAAATAAACGTAAGCAGTGTATTGGGTATTATCAGCGGACAAACAAGGTTTTCTTCTTTAAATATAGAAATGTTGGGGAAAGGGGAAAAAAGAAAATCACTGTCCAACACAGATAGGAAAAGAAAACTGATAAGCAGCTTTCAGAGGAAGTGAACTAAAAGCTGAAGCAACGCACAAAACCATATTCCTATTCTGTTTGTATCCACCGTCTATAAAGCATAAATGTAAAAGGCCCTATAACAGCCACAATAATGAGACCATCTCCTTGTCCTGCAATAAAAACATACTGAGACATGATGAGCTATTTAAGTAAAACCACAGGTTTGATGGCATCAAACTGTCCTGCTGCCTGACAAGCTTCTGAATACCCTGTTTCCAGACTGCCTGGGCTGGTGCTCATCCCTTGGGAAGGGGATAACCAGTTATGACCCACGCACGGCCAGCTCCTCGAACAGCCTCTTTAACCCTTCAGGACTTTACCAGTGGTCACGCCACACCAACGACAGAGGCAGGGTCACAAGATACGGCCAAGTGGAATGAGTGGATGGGCAGATCTGGCAGGAAGCAGAGACAGGAAGGGGAAAGAGAGAAAAAAAAGCATGCAATAAAGATATTATCAGGATTGCCCTCTAAGTCGGGGTTCCTTACCTCATGTAGGACGTCGGAGATAGAGACTTTGGTTTGGCCCACTGGTAGGGATGCTGTGGCACGGACAGGTACTGCTCGCAGAAGTTTCCTTTCCTGATGTGCTGAAAGCTGGAGAAGTCTTCTGGTGACAGATCGGCAGTTGGCGATATGGTCCCATGATCCTCGCCAGCCGGTTCAGTTTTGAGAGTCATGGACGGGGTGTGGTCGATGGCGGTCTTCCTCGACTTGATGGGAATCCCGTCGTTCATATCTATGGTGCTGTCGGTGGTGAGGGCGTTGATGGCGGCGACGATGGCGGAGCTGGTGTACTGGTTCGTGTTCCCCAGCCACGTCTCATCCGTGACGCTCACCCGCGGTGAGTTTTGTGGAGAAGGCGTGGGGGAGTGGTGCGGAGAGTAGGAGGTCTGCCGGCCGTTGAGGCTGTACTTTCTCTTGTTGCAAGGAGACGGAGGCCTGGAGTTGCGAGCCCCCAGCCAGTTCTCCTCCGTGATGCTTGTTCTGGGAGACGTCGACGGAGAGTGCCTCGGGGAACTGAGCAAAGTGCAGGCCACCATGCTGCGCTGGTAGCCCTCTTCTGTGTCGGTGGTCTTTGGAGAGACACACGGGGACTGCCACGGAGATGTCTGGGGTGAAGTGTACGGATACGAGTAGTTAGACTCGTAGGAAGACGCTTCGGAGTTGCAGCTTCTGGAAGACAAGCTACTTGCTGGACTCAGGCAGGACGGGTCTCTGTACGCCTCGATGTTCGGCAAATTCAAAGTGGCAGTGGAAGGTGATCGCTTGGCGTTTGGGATGGCCTCCTCAACCTCATCATGGAAAAACTGGTTGTTGTTATGATGAAGTCCCATGTAAGAAGTGATCTCAATTCTAGGGCTCTCCAGCGCTGGAGCTCCATTAGGTCTGATGTTTGGTGGCAGGTAATACTCGGAGGCCCCGCTGTCGATGTGTCCTCCGTATCCAGAAGGATGGTTTGTTGATGGGACAACTGAAATGACGGGATTTGATGTCTGAAGGCCATGACATGGAGTTGACAATGAGGAATGTGCCACATTTAGAGGCAAGCCAGCATTTATGTTTGGAGATGTGTAATTATAGTGTTCTGGAAAAAACAAACAAACAAAAAAGAATGATATGAGGTGCTCCACAAATATACTCACTTAGAAACATACCCAACTGGAGCGGAGGGACACGGCACAACACACAAAAGCACAGCTCTCCTTAACAACCCAGCCCACAGGCATGCCAAGCCAGGGGAGAAGCTGCAGATGCGCATCCTTGAAAATGCCACTAATTGGACAGCAGAAGACAACCCATCTTGGGAGGGGGGATGTACACGGACTGACTTTGTCTTGAGGATGCTCTTTTTACGTGAGCCTTCAGAGTAAAAAATTGAATCTTCAAACAATGTTGCTTCAGCATTCAGAGACTGCAGTGCTGCTCAAGAGATGTGCTTTTATGTCAGTGAGCCTAATTCCCTCCCTGAAAAGCTGGAATACACAAAAAATACAGGACAAAAACAAAAGTGGAGGCAGACCAAAGCGAAGAGCATGATCAACTGCATTCTGTTAAAAAAAAAATTATACACAACCGAAATTTCCATTACAGCAAGTTTCCAACTGGTTCCAGTTAACTAGGATTTTGGAACGAGACAGATCTATTGACCTGCTCTGGTTTCTGGGACCACTTATCCTCCAGCCCAACTGGCAGAGGCCAGGTGAAGGATAAACACGGATGTCTCACTACTCCGTGACAGCTGAAATTCCACTGAAATCGCTGGTTATTGCGCACGCCACGTCGAGCGCTGCCAGCAGCGCGCTCTTGGCCAACGGTCTAACCGTTTAACAGCTCCGGGTGTATAAAAGCAATAGCAGAGTTGCGCAGCCAGTGTGGAAAACCTGGAAGGTGACAGATCACACCACAGAGTTGCGCCGATTGGCTCCCTGACCCAGCGCAGGGGAACAACCGCCCTTTCCCTCCCTCCATCCCTGCTGCGGTACGGGAATCAGCATCTCAAAGCTGGTCTGCAGGAGACCATCCCTGCCTTGCCTCACTTGTTGGCCTGCTGAAGGGACTCCTTCAGCTCTGCTCTCTCATCCTGAGGTTGCATATGTGTCTCTCTTTGCCAGCTACAGACATCAGTGGGCCACGCATGGGGAAACCACCTGAAAGGAGGTTGTAGCGTGGTGGAGATCGGCCTCTTCTACCAAGTAACTAGTGACAGGACAAGAGGATATGGCCTCAAGTTGTGCCAGGGGAGGTTTAGATTGGATATTAGGAGGCATTTCTTCACAGAAAGGGTCATTGCATATTGGAATGGGCTGCCCAGGGAAGTGGTGTAGTCGCCATCTCTGGAGGTGTTTAAGAAAAGACTAGACTTGGCACTCAGCGCCATGGTCTAGCTGACACGGTGGTGTTAGGGCAAAGGTTGGACTCGATGATCCCAAAGGTCTCTTCCAACCAAATCGATTCTGTGATTCTGTGAGATGGGCACCCCTCACTCAGGGGTAACACACCCCTGGCGCTCTGAGCAGTGGTGGGACCAGGAGTCATCCACCCTGTGCCTTCTGATATAAGGACACTCCGCGTCACCAGCACACATGGGCCAGAGTCTCCAATGCCAGTACCTCTTGCCTTATTGGGGAAAGACAGGAAAACCTTTCTATTGGGGACAACAGGCGCTGAACTTTGAGGCTGAGTAATGCTATTCTGCAGGTTCCTCTCAGCAGGTTGGAAATGCGCCCACTTCCAGCTCCAGCCCCAAGCTGTGCTCCCAGCACATCAGCCTTCCCTGAGGTTTGTTACGGCAGCGACACTTTCCTGCGGGACAAAGGGAAACTGGGCATTCCCCCTGGCCACAGCCAGTCCGTACGAAAAATTTCCCTCCCAGGAGGCAAGTTCCCTTGGCAGTCACCCTTGCCCACCTTCCCTAGGGAGATACCGAAAAGCCGTGTTAATTACTGCAGCTGTTATTCCCAACGCAACCCGCTCCCCAGGAGCGCTGCAAATGCAAACGAGCCTCCGAGCTGGTAACGCCAGCGCAGCCGGCGATTCTCTTTCTTTTGTTTATCAGCTCAGCCCTCTCTGGTGTCATCCTCCGGCGATCCCGCGCTCGCCTTTCTCGCTGGCAACAACTCCAAGGCAAACGGTACTTAGGAAAAATTAATGTGCTGTTGCAGTTTCACAGCAACTCCGCGATGTTCCAGCTGATGTATGTCATGTCAGGTAACAGACAGAAACGATGAGCAACACCAACCTTTTGAACTCACTCTCTAGTCTGCCTTCAGAGGCCGGCCATTTACTGAGGAAGGGTCATTAAATTACACCGGAGAGTGCCACAAATAACACTGGATTATTCAAAACAACCTGCAGCTTCGTACTCTATTCAAACGACAAGGTAGGCAGGAACTATGGAGAAAGAGGCGCTACTTTGACAAGGATAATTCGACCACAGTGGTCGCAGCAAGGCGCAGATCTGCCTGGGGGAACAGAGTCCCCTCCTTCCAAAATTAGTCCCCTTTTATTGCTGCCCTGCCACATGGCTGTGCCGCTCGCTGTCACCACAACCAGCATCACTTCCTTCTCACTCTTCACAGAAAAAAACACCAAACAAACAAACAACCCAAAACCAAAGTGGTACAGCAGTGGTAAGACCTTCTCCATTTCAGAAATTAGCCCAGAGGAAGGATCTAAGCAGCGCCTTCAAGGCAGCTTCAACCCCTTCACTGCTTCCTCCAGCTCCAGGGGAAGGTGATGGCCCTGGCACCGCACTGCTGCCGGGACCCTGCCTAGGCTCTTCTTCCACGTACGCCCACGGGCCCTTCCACAGCCTCCTGGCCCGGTACGCAGGCGAAAGGCACCGGTGACACGGCACAGCCAGGTGCCATCTCCAGTCAGTCCCCACCGCGCAGCCGGACGCCCCGGGCAGGGGACCGCGGGCTCCACCGGCTGTCCTGGCTCTGTGCCCATCAGGTGGGCTTTGCAGATGGGGTACAACAGCAGCATCCGCTGACTTTTTTTTAAGTTTTATTAAAAATAGATAGGTAAACAAACAAAATAGCAGGGATAATTTATTACCTGTGTGAAAAGTACTGTGAACCCAGCAGCTCTCTTAAAATCTAATGCATGACTGGGGTGAAATTCAAACACTGAAGTCTGCTGGAGGTCCGCAGCCCAGGCCAAACAGGCTCAGATCAGCCTTTGGAATCCAATTTTAAAAAAAATAAATATAAAAACCAGCCTCAAGTGCTCCAAGCAACAAGTTCCCCTAATGCACACGGCAAGGAACAGTCTCTTTTAGAACTACCATACTTATTTTTAACAAGTCAACTTTAAAAGGGCCAAGAAAAATAACATGTCGTACAACTTCTCACACAATAGTATGCAAAATTGAAAGCAGCAAGATCTAAAGCCTTCCGAATATATTTAGGTATCTTAAATTTTCAGGCAGCCCGTAGAAAGTATGCCCACCAAATACCAAAGCCAGAACTAGGCACAGGACTAAGTCCTTGGTTTGTGAGCTAACAAACCACCAGCTACAATTTCTGAAAAAGCACTTTGTTCTCCCCAGCTTCCATATTTACAAAACTCATTAAAGGCACACACATAGCATTTGTAACACGCTGACGTTTTCCTCACCAGGATGAATTAAACATGGAGAAATAAAATGCCAGTCTTGAGGGGCAGGAGATGGAGGTGGCTACAAAGGCAAGAAACTGCATCACATAACGCAGCTACGTAGCGTATTTCGACAGCGCTGATAGGGACGACAGGAAAGTAACGCTGTCATGACCGTGACCCATAGAGGACCAGGGCACTTACTACCAAGATACTTTCAATAGTGTACTTTACTATCTTGAGCCAAACCCCAGTATCATTTAGACCACTGCAGGTCTGTCACAGTTCTGTTCTAACAAATCCACACTTGGAATAACCAGGACAAGAAATTGGACCCCTTCATTTGTGAGCACATCTTCACATAACACATTTCATTTTGTGACAACATGCCAAAAAAAAAAAAAAATCAGATTTTTTTTTTTCCTCTAGTTAATTTCACAGAGCAAAAGTTTTATTCCTTTCTGTCATTAATGGGCTGCTCCTGCAAGGCACTGGGCACCATCACTTTTAATTTACATTCTTTAACTAGGAATGCTGAACACCTGCAGCTCAGAGGGGCTTCACAGAAGGTAAGAGCTATTTTACATTTCTAAAGACGAAGCCACGTCTAGGAGTGCTTTCAAAATCGCCTAATTGAGTTAGGTGCTTTTCTCACTAGGACTTTGACACTTAATTTGCTTTTAGGCCCCTCCACTTTCCAGGTGTCTAATTACTAGGACACTCATCTGAAAAGCCTGGCGTGAAACTCTTAAAACCGCATTTTTCCTAAAAACTGAGAAGCTCCTCACGACTATACGGACACTGACAGCGTGCCGGAGAGCTGGGCAATCGGGGAGCATCGCACCTTCACCTGCATCCTGGCAGGCTGTGATACGCACGCAAGGATTTGGGAACCTGCTTCAATTTAAAGGCACCAGATGAAGCAGAGACACCGAGACAGCCTTACTCTGAGCCTGTGTTTAAATCGCCTACTTGTATGAGAGCTTTTTATGGTGACCAGCTATCCCCCCTGCCGTAGCAGCCAACCTCATTCCAGGAAACAACAACTTTCTCTCTCTCTCTCTGTGTCAAATCCAGACTTGTTCGCCTCATTTCCACCTCAAGTATTGTTAAAAGTCATAAGAAAAAGACAGCCGGACCGAAACACCAGAGTCGGGAACGGTGCGACCCGTGATAAATTCAGGCCCGTTATTTTTATTTATGGATGACCTTCAAGCTAAACCCTGCCTAACTAGCTCCAGCTCACTGAGGGGGGAAAGGGAGGGGGAC